TAAGGAACAAAACATTTAATTTCTTTTTACCTTAAAATATTTCATTTTTGAAACATAGAACTATTTATGCAGCATGCAAAGATTGAAATAGTATTTTAATTTTAGTTAACCATTTATATATTTCAGATTTACATGCATAAAGTAGAAAATAAGAAGACAAGATGTTTAAACATCCCTGAAATAATCCAAGGATGCCCTGAAATTTCCAGTGGGTTTTTTTTTTTGCATTTGTTTGATCAACACCTTGAAAATTTTAGTACAAAATTGTCCATTTCACTCTTCCTCCCCTCTTCCCCATTTCTGCAAATTAATTTTTTTTTTCATAAAAAACCCTAGCAGACCATTTTTACTTCTAATAGCTTCGGTGAATTGATAAGAGAACTGAAATATCATTGGCATTAGAAAAAACAAGATTAGTATGTTAATATTGTAAAATCTTTCATCATTGAACTGCCAAACACTAAATTCATTTTTATAGAACAATGTTCAGAGTAGAAATTAATCTTCACCCTCTTTGACTCAAGCACAGTGGGAAAAAATGACTGCCTGGTCCATCTAAACAGACCACCTAAAGACATTGGTCTCAAGTTGACAGCAAGGGCAGCAACAGGATGTTCCTCAGCAGTCTTCTGCTGACATCTGCCTCAGCTTCTCCTTCATGCTGATTTCATCCCATGCCAGTCATAATTTCATTTTTTGCAGTTGTGCAACTGTAACTACTTTCTGAAAAGATCAGAGCAAATAATATCTGCTTACCAGTGTTATCAGCCATTTAGGAGAATGAAATTTGTTATGATTTACATCAAAACCAAAATAAGGTCAGCAGTTTCCAGTACAAGATAAACTAACTGCACCATATGTTCAAAAGAATCCTAGACATTCACAAAAATCGTACATCTTTTAAATTTGTCAAAGTTGCAACATGATCATTTTTTTTAAAATGGAGGAAATTGTCCTCTAACAGATGCCTCTTTTTGCAAAAATTCTGTATGGCAGGATATGTCTTGGAACAATTCCCTAGAGAAATAGTTCTGTTTACCTGAGAGCGCAGTGAAACCTCAATAATTGCAGAATATGATTCCCTACCTTGTTTTGTTGTAAATATGCTTTCCACTGACAGACTGTTACTTGCCTTTATCCAGAATAAAAGTCTACTGGGTAGGTCCACAAAGATGACAAAATTCCAATATCTACCATGCTTTTAGAGATTTGGAAGTGGCCTTTATTACCATTTTCCACAGCCCCCACTTGCTACTGGTCAAATTCGTGCCCTTCAGGTATAACCATCTGCCAGAAAAACCTCTTCTAAATTTTTAGACCAGACACTAAAATGATACTCCCTACTTCTTCTCTCCATATCAACATGAAGGCAAACTAGCAATTAAGGCTTGTCAGGTCCTACCTTTCAAGCATCTGTTATTAAGCTGGGAATGAACAGGCCTATTTTCTATTCACCTAGCAATTGCAGGCAGCAGTCAGGGTTCATACTGTTAGATCAATTGCCCGCAGCTTGTCACCTGCTCAGTTTAAATGAGCACAGCTGTCTGTCTCTAAAGGATCTTAAGGAAATTTTTCTAGCCTCTCCTTCTGATAAGCCACTATTCTTCTCCCATTTTTTTTTCTCTCATGGCAGAGCACTTGACCAATTCATTTTCTCCCATCTTTTCTCTGGCCTTGGCAAAATTAATCTGCAGTCTTTTAGAAACTTGTTGGTCAGAAACTGAAGAAAAAGAACTCAATATTCATTCAGCTACCAAGTTCCTACTTGCCCTTCCTACCATGTTTTATCATACTTCAGCTTATGCACAGAGACAAAATAGTATACAGCAGATAAATCGAGGCATGCTCGTGACACCACACACAAGATGATGCTCTGTCCTTCCCCAGCACCTCATCGTCATTTTGCTCCTGTGCACATTCCCAGCACACCCCCAAAGGCAAAACAAAGCCTTTGCCAGTTAGGTTCAGCAACACCTCTGGAAAACTCTACCAGCCATTCCTGTCTTCTCTCGAACTTTGAAGGCCGTTGTGGTGTTATTAAAAAGGGGAATTTGAAAAAAAAAACTGTGAGCCTTTATAGAAGTATGAAAGTGTATTTCTCAGCTTTTGTTTATGTGTTTTATTGTAAAATTAATGGCAATATTTTTTGAAAAAAAAAAAGTTATTTATTGAATTTACTATCACAAGACAAATATTTTTTATTTTTTACAAACTTATTTTCACTTTTTTATTTCAATACTCTATCTTATACAATTATTTTCTTTTTATTCCTTTTAGTATTCTCATAATCCAAATGGGTTATAGCATAATAGTTTTTTCCATATTCCTCCTTGCAAAATGAAATATATTAAATTACTGTCACTTTAAGTTAAATCACACCTCATCAGATTTTTTTATCTCTTTCATTTTTCCTGTTATTTGTTGATTGATAAAGAGCTTTTCTCAGTTTATGTGATGTCATCTATTCCCACCCTTTGAGTAAGACCGAGATGTCGGTGTTTGTGGATGTGTTTCATTTAATAGCAGTGTACACTCCTTATGAGGTAGATGAAAACACAAGACATCTTTGAGGATAGAAGTAAAAAAAAAAACCTTCAAGACATTTGTCTTTCTTGAGCATCTGATACAGAAAATATATGTAGCAGACTTAAAGCCCTTCAGAGTCTGAGTGCAGATATGTTGAGCTCCTTCCAACGTTCAGGTTCTTAGCTGAACTAAATACAACTTAGTCCAGAGGTGGATATAAATTCCCCATTTGTACAACTCTCCAGCCTTTGGCTAAAACAGCACCTTAATTTTTATTTTTACAACAATTCTTTTTTCATTTTGTTTTACATAACTTTGTCCAATACTCCATGGATCATGTAATGCCCTCCAATTTTACATAATGATGGTGTCGTTCCTCAAAAGTAAATTTATTTCTGTCTTTGCAAAATTGACTCATTTTAGAGTGCAACAGTTCCAAAGGGAGCATGGCTGTGCATTGTGACACAAGTCCTTTTGGGTTTTTTGCCATTACTAGTACTAGTGTTTTATTTCTTCCTTGGAATTGTGGTCTAATGGAACTCAGATGTATTGTATTTTCTTCCAAAATTCTCTTTTCATTTAATAAAACTGTGTTTCTAACATTTCCCTTTGCAATACCTACCTTAAAAACAACAACTATGTTGTTTACTTCCAGCTTAACATACTGAACAGCTATGTCTGCTTACTTCCTGATGTTTTTTTTGTAAAAAATCTATGATGTAATATAGTCATCAGCACAAAAACACGTATCTTGATGGAGGCCATAAAGATATACTCTTATTGCAGATTAAAAAAAGTTGTCAAACATTTTTATGCTATTACTAAAATTAAAAAAGGCATTGACACTGACACTTCCCATGTGTGTTTGACTTCTGCCTGCTGCAGTCTAAAATTTCTGAACTTAGTATAGCAGCAGAATAATTCATAGTCAGCTTTTGCACATTGTTTATTTTTTATTTAAAGCAAAGAACCTAACATGGCAAAAATCTGTCCTATGGAAAGAGATTTGATGATTCCTTTTCTTATGCCATGGTGTTCATAGCATATTTGGTTGCACTGTAGTTTTCCTTTTACATTGTCAAAGATTAAATGATATTGAAATGTGCATCAGACCCAGAGATCTTGATTCAATTTCACACATAAACCTACACTTCATGGTATTTTCTTCTTTCTTAGAATAACATTAACATTACACCAAGTTATTTTCTTGGTTTGTGGGACAGTGTAATCTCTGTTTTACAAAGGACATGGGGTATGGGAATGCTGACTTTACACCAAGGTTTTTCTTTGTCAAATTAAAAAAAACACTAATGCGTCACTCCTTCTGGGATCTTAGCAGGTTTGATTCTTGTAATTTCTGAAGTGGATCTGCTGGAAAAATTCATCTGTATCCATATTTCCAGCCAGGCAAAATGAACGCTGTTTACCTTAGAGGAAGGACTACCTCAGTCATTTTGAACAACTTTGAACTGTAGATTTTGCTTAAATTATGTAAAGTATGCATCCAATGCAAATCATTGGTTTTAGACATCCTTTAGTTTGACTGAAGTCCTCTTGGACATTCTGGGGTTTTGCAATGGCTGTGTTTTTATGTAAAGGATGTTATGGACCCTACGATTTCTTTCAGTAAAGAGTCTATGTGGAAATAGAACATTTAAAAGAAAAGTAAACTGTAGATTTATGGTGCTTATTATCTGAGAAGCTTCTCTCCTTTTTATACTTTATTGGTTTTATTGATGTAACGGAAAATAGTTTTTAATGTTACTTTGCATATTTAAGAAAACAAATGCAGGATGTGAACATGTTTATTATAATTTCTTTTAAAAATTTCTTTCAAAAATTACTTTCTTCTGCATATTTTTATCTCCGAGGTGACAAAATGTAATCATAAAAGGTTTCTGGCACAATTTCATCCTTGTGATAAAAAACATATTTTCATAGAAACAGCAGATTCCTAGGATGCACCTTCTTTTTGGTGTTTCTAGTTAAGTAGACATTATTTTTATTTTTTTGTGGTTGGATGTAGCTTTCCAAAGTAAACAACTTAAATGGAAAGAAATAAAATGGTAACAAGCACTTTGAGTTTCCTTTTTTTGAATTCTGTCAGTTATGTCCTAAGCCCATGTCTTAGATGGAAAGACAGATAGGCTCAGGGACTTGCATTTTTTTCATAACTGAAAAGAAATACTTTGTCTTGCTTTAAATTGTAGGGACATGAAGGGCTACAAAGATTTATAACATGTCAATACCTCTTTCATGTACCTACTATAAGCTTTTTCATGTACCTACTATAAGCTTTTAATAAGCTTTTACATTTCCTAATCTATTCAGGTTTGAAACAATTTTATACCTTTTACTTTGGTGTATATCAGGAACATACTAGGTCCAGCTACAAAGACAGGAGTCCTTTGGTAAATGCTCTATTTTCAGAGCCAGTGATTGTTTTCAATCTCTTCTACCCATAGGACACATACCCCAAAACTTCTTTCTTTCTGAACTTGAATTCTCATCATGCTTTGGAAATGTGTCTCCTCTTTGCTGAAATACAACTTGACACAGAAGTGAATCTGTAAGTGAAAAATAAAATCTTATTAACAAACAGAGTAACTTTATACAGCTGCCTGCACAAAGGAAGGAGTGTGAGGAGAAGGATGTTTAGAAATCTATCTGCACAAATATCATGACCAAATGTTTACTTATGTTTTGGAAATGGCGTGTATAAATGGTGAAGTTAAAGCAATGAACAGAAAATCTGGATAACTGAGGAACTGCAAATGCCCTGTGACGGTGCAGAGTAGAAACACGGGGTAATCTCTCTGCCCATCAGCTCTGTGGATGATGCTTCGTGCTCCTCTGAATGCTCATGACAGACCATCACAGATCTGTCCAGAGAGCCACACTGGTGAATAAAAGCTGGATGTCCTTTCTTTCTTCTCTGTCCCTTTGTGAACAGGTGCCAGAGGTCACACATTTTCCCCTCTCTAAAACACAGAGGTGTAGACACACTTGTTTTTTTTCAGTTATATTCTTTTTTAAAAGGAAAAAAAAAATCATTAGAGAAAATAAATTATTTTTTAACCAGGTGGATTTTTTAAACAACATGCATTTGAAGTATGAAGCAAAATACTCCTGATGTTCTACACAAGTCTGAACAAAAGCATATGAGCAAAATATGCACATGAACACAATATATATGAGCACATATATGAACACATATATTAATATGAGCACAATAATGCACATGAAATAAGCAAAATACCAAATTTAATAACAAAACCAGTTGTTATGAGGCTACCTACATCCCAAAGCTGGAAATTAGTGATGGGAAGCTGAGTGAAGTCCCCAGAATCTAGGAAGAAATGATTAGTGACCTGCTATGTCAATTAGACACCTACAAATCTAAGCACCCAGAAGGGATGCACTGAAGGGTAATGAGGGAGCTGTGAAAGGGCTTCCCAGGCCACTTTCAATCATTGTCCAGCAGTGCTGGTTAGCCAGAGAAGTCCCAGTTGACTGGAAACTAACAGATGTAACGCCCATGTACAAGAAGGGTGAGAAAGATAATGTGGGGAGGTGCAGGCCTGTCAGCCTGCCCTCAACACCCAGGGAATTCAGGGAGCATATCACCCTGTGTGTGATCACACAGCATGTACAGGACAGCCAGGGGATCAGGCCCAGCCAGTATGGGTTTATGCAAGGCAGGTCCTGCTTGGCACATGTTATTTCCTTTCTTTCTTCTTTCTCATGTACTTGACATTGGTGAGGCCACACCTTGAGTACTGTGCCCAGTTTTGGGCCCCTCATTTGAAAACAGATGTTGAGGTACTGGACTGTGTCCAGAGAAGGGCAGCAGAGCTGGTGAAGGATCTGGAAAACAAATCCTATGAGAATCGACCTGAAGAAGCTGGAGTTGTTTAGTCTGGACAAAAGGCGGCTCATTTTCACTCTTTAAAATGAACCTGAAAGGAAATTGTAACCAAGTGGGAGTCGGTCTTGTCTCAAGTGAAAAGATGAGATGAGATGAAATTAAACTGATGCAGAGCATGTTCTGATTATATATATATATAATATTTTTCATTAAAAGAGTGTTTAGGCATTGGAATAAGTTGCCCAGAGGTGGTAGAACCTCTGGAAGTACCCATCAGGCCTCTGGATGTGGCAGTTGGGTATATGATTTAGGAGTGATTTTGATGGTTTTAGATTGAAGTTGGAATAGATTATCTTTGTGATCTTTTCCAGCTTGATGATTCTGTGATTCTATTAAATCTGCTGAGACCATTCAGAGAAAAGAGAATAAAAAAGAGAAAAAGGCAGAAAAAAGTTTTACAAGCAGTCTGGTAACCTGCCTACACAGATTATCTACATTTATATGAGTAAAAAGTAAACTGGAAGTGAAATGTAAAGACAGGACTTTGGAGACACAGTTCATGTCTTTAAATAATGGTGCAGTGAACTGCCAGGTTGTTCAGGACTGGCTTAAGTACAATCCTCAAGTTTGAATATATTAAGTAATCAGTCACAAGGACCTATGTGACTAATATTTTCTCCTGTAAAATTTAGGAACACAAACCTGACTTGTAATGAAATGTGATGAAGTGGGACTTTCTTGGAACTTCATTTTGCGTCTGGATAGATCAACAGGAGAAAGGAAATTAGATGTCTGTGATTAAAAGGAGAACCGATTTGATGACCATAATCACAAAAATTCCTGTCATATCTATTCTGTGCATATTAAATGGACTTCTAACAAAATATTAAAAGAAAAGGTCTAATTGGCTTTTTAAATATTAATTTTCAGAATAGACGTAGAGGAAACACTGACTAGAAAAGATCAGACCAAATGATTGCCAGAACTATCTTGGGCCTTTGTCCATGACTATGACAGATTTCCTCAGATTTCTGCTGAAAAACCTAACTATTTTTCTTTGAATAAATTACCTTTTGAGCTGGCAAGTGTGTTTGTAATAATGTCCTTAAATTTAGTTTCTGCTAGATATGCAAATATAATCACACTTTCAAAAGAGTTGAAACTTATGTTTCAACATGGTGATTCTGACCTTTGACTTTTTAGTAGTGTTAATACTACATTATTAATTAAGCTTTTTTGAAAGTGAGGAGTCTGAGGAATACTGAATGGGTATTTAAGCTACTACTTCATGCCTTTCAAAAGCAGGCTTTCTCTGCTTCTGGAACCTGAGTTTATTTCCAGGCAAGGACACCTTTTTCTAATATTAAAAAGACAAAATAAACCCTACTGAAGTTGTAGGGAAGAGCTTTCAAAGGGAAATAGTCTGGAAAAATTAGGTCATGGTAGTAGTGGGAGCTTCTGATGTATGGTAGTTACCAGAAGGGTTCTTGCACTTCATCTCACCTAAATTCAGATAAATAGTACTCTTATAGTTTTTCAGGATTCCAAAAGTAAAAGCAAAATATAACTATTTTTCATTTAGTTCAGTCTTCAGAAAAATAAAGACCAGAGTAAATATCAGATAAGAATCTTCCAATTTCTCTTTTATTATATAAATGTTAGTTTAATGAATTTATTTTGAGCATTACTCACTTCTATGTAAAGACACTCTTTCCAGCAGTTTTCAGTAGGTGTCCTGTCTGACATTTCTGTATAGTGTCTCCCAGGAATAATAAAATCTCTTCCATGCCTGTAGGCTCCATTATCTACCTTACTTTTCCCCTCACTTGGAAAAACTACCTTGGGTGACTCACAAGGTCTTAATAGCACTGAAAGTTAAGAGAGCCTGTATTAAAATGTAGTGACCCTCAACTTCTCTGCTTGGCCAAGTGACAGCAATAATAATCAGTTACATGGAAAGCATTATTACTGATTTTCATCTCCTGCTAGCTTAGATTTGATTTCAGAAAGGATGAAAAATTAGGGCCAAACCCAAACCTTGGCTCATATCCTCTCCTGACATGATGCTTCACTTGAGGATTAAGAGTAGTCCTGTTCAAATCAGAGCCAAATCCAGCTGGCCTTTAGAGCAAATCCTGAGCAGATTCCCAGGCCATTGGTAGGGAAAGACACGTGGCTGATGGAGGATTGCACCAGAGCAGGTGTTGGGTAGCAACACGCCCTGGAAGCAAATGTCACATTGACATAGCAGGTGCCTCCAGCAGGCAGCAGCAGTGAGGGAGAGCCGTGGCTCACTGATGAGCAGTGCAATGCACCTTACTGGGAACCACTAACACAGATCTCTGCATCCCCAAGTGTGGGAATGATCTATTCATGTCAGATCTCCTTGAAATAGGTGTGAGGGTCAATTTCCTTTCTCCTTAACATGTCTTGTGCATCAGAGAGAACAGAAGTGGTGTCCTTTTTTTTGGCTGGGATAAAGTTAATTTTCTTCCTAATACCTAATATTTTTCTTCCTACCTCCTTGTACAGTGCTGTGTTTTGAAATTAGTCAAGAACAATGTTGATAACTCAGTGATGCTTTGGTTGTTGCTAAGTAGTGCTTATTCTAAGTCAAGGATTTTTCAGTTTCTCATGTTTTGCCAGTGAGAAGGTGCAAAAGAAACTGAGAGGGAGTGTGGCCAGTCTCTCTCTCTTTCCTATTATTAAAATATTTTGGAATTTTTAAATTATAAACTCATCTATATTCAACACAAATGTTGCTTAGTTGCCAGCTGGGATTAAACAACAGGTGGATGCAGATACAGTGAAGTTATCTTTGCCAACAGATTAATAATTTCCCTGACGACATTGGGAAAACTCAATCCAATATGCATATATTGGATTGCTTTTAGTTTGTAATTAAAACAATGTCATTTTCATTGCCACTTTTCTCTGAGATAAGCACTCAACTCCAATTCATTGCAGGTTTAACACTGTGGAGACTCCTTAAATTCAAAGCATTTGTTTTTGATGAAAGTTAATCGCATTCTAAAATAGCTTGATATTGTGGAAATTAGGTTTCTGAGATGAGAATAAAAGAGTATATGCAAAGGAGTTTTTTCTCAGGCAGATCATTAGTACAGAGCTGTTCTGCAAGGTACAATATATGGTAATAACCAGTCTCCAGAGCTTTACCTTATTTAAATTGGTCACCTACTAAAGGGCCTGGGCTGGATTTGTGGAGCATATTAGGTGAATAACACAGTATTGCTTTATGGCAAATGCATTTTTTAGCTGCTATCGGGTATATTACATATAATTCTTTGGTGCTGACTTATGGGCTTGACAGCACACATCAGGCTGTTTAAATCATTAGCGTGTTATTTTTCTTCCCCGGAGGAATCATAATGGGAAGCCCTGCTAACCTGTCAGCTCTACTTTGCCCTCCTTTCCCCCTTTGTTGTATGAAACCTTAAATATGTAGGTGGGATTCCTGGAGCTTGGCTTGTTTCAGAGCAGCCTGGGGACTGATTTGGTTGAGCTGCCCAAAGCCTGTAAATTCTGGACAATTGGATGGAAACAGGAGGCCGAGTTCAAGGGTAGAAAGCTGGGTGAAATAGTCTGATGATTTGCGTATCCAAGGCTTTCAGGTGGAATGTTTTCCCCCTCAGTCATAAAAAGTAAGGGGAGGTGTGATGTCTCAATGTTACATCTGTTAAGAAAAATAAAAAAAGGGAGAAAAGGCTAACTCCAGTTTGGGAGGAGAATTTAGACTGAACTGTGCATTGTTGCAGTGGAGGCTGAGTTTTGGGATCCTGCCAGGGGAGGGGGGAATTTTTTGCATCACCATAATGCTGTTCATAAGTGTAAGGATAAGCCTTATCCTCATGTTAAGACTGGGAAGGCTGAAGAAAACTGTGGAGCATATTGGTGTCAGAAGGCAGTGAGATAAAAAAGGAAAATCCAGACTCACATAAAATGAAGTAAGATTCAGGGCTTTCCTGGAAAACAGAAATACCCCTAAACACAGATTCAGAAGTATTGGAGCAAGAAATCTTTGAGACTATAAATATGTTCCAAAATCCGCCAACCTATTACTTGTACTATAAAAACAGCATAAAAATACTTGATATTGCTGTTTATATAAATTATGCATCTAAGTCTGTTGTGAAATTTTATCTGAGAAAATGACACTGCAAACTTTTCTTTTTTCTGCATTTTCAGTCTATTATTCATGTTGAAACATAAAACAACTTCAATCAAAGGGTCATCAGATGAACAAGGCACAGAAAAGACAACTGGTCTCCAGCGACATCTCTTTAATCTCATTCACTACAGACTATTTTTCACTCTGACTGGAATAGGTTAGAATAGAAAAAAACCCTAAACCCTTTTAAAAATTTTATGATTTTTAAAGTTTGTCTTGTTCCTCAGGGTTTAAATTAGAGTCATGATATTTTTTTCTTGACATCATTAAAACAAATAATATGAAAGATGGATATTTTCTGCTTGTTTCTTTGATTTTCCTTTAGGCTACTGAGCACAGTATTCTAAATGCTTTCTAAATTGCTTTTCCCTTTTGTGTTTTCTTTTTACTTTTTCCCTTGCTTTTTTTTTTTTCATATGTGCTGCTCTGTAACTTTTACTAAGTATTATTAGATTCTAAAAGATTCCTGAGAGACAGAGTTAAATGTAATTTTTTTCCAAGTTCTTCTAAGGAGGGTCAAAATAATCAAATTCAGACTCCAGATGTCTGTCATTTTTCAGATGTAAGTCTTCATTTCCTCATGCAACAAGCTTGGACTAGCATTCTGCAAAGGGCAGAGAGATCTTTTGTTTTTTGAAGGGCCTGATTTGACTGATGAATTAAACCGTGAACTGCAGTTGCTGTCTAGGCTTATACAAGTGATGGGCAACCCATTCATCTTTAAATGCTGAAGATAAAAGACATATTGAACTTCCCTCAACACTGTGAGGAGTGTCAAATTTGAGATTCACAAACACCATTTATAAATATAGCATCCTGTGTTGTTGAAGAGTCATGACATTTTGTGACTTTATGTGGATGATTTTACAGTATGTTATCAAGGGCATTATTAAATTAATTTGAAATGAACTTAGGTCTCAGGGAAAGTTTAATTAACTTTTTTGCAATATTTCTTGAGAACTTTAAATACAATCTTCATTTCAAATGACCTAAATAGATGTTTTCAAAAGTTCCCATCTTTCCTGAGGATGGAAACCTTTAAAATATTTGGTAAGCAATGTAAGTTTCGAACCCCTTGAAATTAGCACAAGAAGTGCTCTTAAAGATTATTTCATTCCATGATTTTATTTTTTTCTTATTTAATCAACAATATCTACACAATTGAGATTATTTCTGCCATGCTTTCCCTCAGTTTTTGTGTTCAGACACTGATTCTTATTGTCTACTTCCGTACAGGTAAATCCATACTCAAATATATCACATCCGACAAAACGTGTTTAAATGAAATCACTACCTTACATATTTACTTCTGCCAATACTAAAGCTAGATATTTTCAGGTTCTGAAACATAGAGTTTCTCTTTTCTTACCTAGCATGTCAAATTTATCATTTGTGCATATTTCTGCAGTTATGGGAACCAGCAAGAATTTGAAATATACTGTACATTTTTCTGCCAAAGTTTGCTGGCTCTGGAGCTTTGAATAAGCTTGGGATGAAAATTCATATTTAGGGATTTAATCAAGCCAGGCCCAATATGGCAGATTTTTGATGAATACTTCATAACTGTTAGTTGTTCTGCTGTAGAGTAAGACAAATTACTTATTACTTACAAGTAAGATGCCAAGAGGTTGCTTGATTATACAGTAGGAACATGTTCTGTCAGTCTGCAATGGCTGTAGTCTGGTACCTCCAAAAAGCATTTCTTGGAGGGCCTCATACAATTGCCATGTAAAATGGCAGGCAGGTTATGCATTATCACCAATTTGTCATATTTAAATTGCAAAGTTAAGACAAGCCCTAGTCCCGAGGCCTTGTATAACCCTTACAGAGCCTGTGGCCTGTTCTCAGCAATGACAATAATGTATTTGCTGGGTTACAGGAGTGTACAGCCTTAAATCGAAGCCAAAAATTTGCATTGAAATCCAAGTATCTAAGGAAAGCAGATATATCTAGAGGGAAGTCTCTTCTATTCAGGTTTGCTCTTATCTCATGCTTTGCTGCTCAAGAGGAGATCTGATGTTGGTATGAGATAGATAGCTAGATAATTGCCTTCTGACCACTTTGATTCTTCTAGAAGCTTGTGGAGATCCTGGCTATTTGCTACCTATCTGTGTAAGGTTGAAGGAAGACAGAAAAATTATTTATGAGCTGGTTTTTCAGATCAGCTGATTCCTCTGTCACCTAGCATGAATGACGATGACTGTCTACATGAGAAGGTAGAGCTCCAGTGCCTGAGAAGGACCCATGGCAAAAGCAGTTTTTTCTTCCATTTTCTTAAGAGGAGGAGGTAGTGATAGGAAGTGATAAATGTTTATTCTATATGAAAGGCAGAAAAGAGAGCCTTTTTTTTATTCACTTCTGACTTCATTTTCATATTCTTCTTGGTTTCCCTTTTCAGACCACAAGTGGGCTTGGGCTAGAAAGGAGGAGAAAAGGAAGGAAAACCACTGCAGGAGGAATCTTTGCAAGGTGGTCCTTTTCACTGTTGCACTTACGTTTTTTTTCTGAAATACCACTTGATTTTGTTTTGAAAAATGAATGTTAAAGGCCAGAAGCTTGATTCATAAATCTCATAAATATTTCAACAAATGCATCCAAGTTGGCAATACTTGAATATTTCTGAGATATTTTATAAGTCAAATTACAAAAAAAGGTAAACTAACAACAAAATCTTCCACTGCTGTGATATTTTTACTGTCTACACTTGCCAATAACCTCTGTCCTTAATCCTGTTCCATTTTAGTCCAAACTTACAAGAAAACAAGCTCTGGTCATTGCTTGTATTATTGGGCTGTGGAGAGAGGAATATTCCTAAAATTTGCGGGCTATCAGAGGGCAATTCTGAAGCCTTCCTGCATCATTAGAACTCCCCATATGTTGATATGTCTGGTATTTGGACCGTTAATCACTGGAGCTTCTGATAACATTTCACCTTGGAACTATTATAACAGATATGCCTTTTGCAATAAACAACCTTTTGAATTAGGTTCTTGAATTGTACTGCCACCTTTCCAGAGTAAACACGTTAATTTTCCTAGCAATTCTACCTACAAGGTTACAAGACCAGAGGAGAAGCGGTGTCATCATTTTGGCTAACACATAATAATATGCAACTGCAATAACTTAGTTCCCCTTCCAGCTATGCCAGTGTTGTTCAGTTGTGGTGGAATAACACTTTGTCGGGCCAGATTCCTCATAAATGCCAATCAGAAGTTTAAAGAAACACAGCAAAGAAATAAATCATGGAAGAGGGAAGAATGGGGAAAGTGAAGAAGTCTAGCGGCTGTGATTAAAGCATAATCTTGACTTCTGGTGGACAAGATATATATCACATTCAGATTTACAAGCCTGTCTGGCAGACTTGATGGTGGAACTGTTGCAGGAGCTGCAAATGGTGAGGTGCTACATGGAAATCCTGTCAGCAGTGGGAAAAACTTCATGCTCTTCAGGAACCTCACAGATGCAAACTCAGAGTAAATGAAGCTCAAGATGTGAAAACCTAGTTCATGAAGCCTCCATGTGAAGAAGTTAGCTATTCTTTAAAAGCCCTGTTGAATGTTACTTGGTTTTGCAGATGATTGTTTTAGTAGAGCTAATGTGCAATAGATGGGATGGGCATGATCTTGTTAACCAAAGAAACATCTTTCAGGGATGTCAGGAATACATAAACTAAAGCAGAATGAAAGGAGAAAATGGAAGGATAAACAAGAGAGAGAAATTAATGATAAGGTATATTTCTATTTTCACCTTTTTGTATACTTTCTTTGGTAACTTTTTTATTTTCGTAGGTCTTCTTGCTCTATTTCTGTGGCTTTCTATTTTTCATTATATGTTCATGGAATGGACGTTGGGTAGAAAACTTGAAGTGAAGTAAATGAAAACCAAATGTCATATATCCTGGAACTATTAAAGGCTTCCTTTTGACTCCAAGTTAATTCCTCCTTGTTTTGTTCACCTAATGTGAACAGAAAAGAAATAATATTGAGGCAAATTGAATATTTCAACAAGAAACTATATAAGAACTATTGAAAATTTCAAAATATACATTTCTTAGTTTGCAGTGTGTAGTGCTGAACCAAAACTCTTCAAATTAATAATCTTCATAACAATCAAAGTAGAATCAGAGTTTAGTGAACTCTAAGGAATTGACCACCACTCTGTCCTGACAGAAACGGTTACTGGACATATTAAGCTGGGAAACACAGAAATAAGAAATAGAAAGAATGATTGCACCAAAGCAGTGCCCCACTGAGTGTTTTTTCTCTCTCCCCCTTCTCTACGTCATTCTTCATTTCTTCTCAGTGTAACTGCTGTTGATGTTACCCATATCAGAAACAATTAAAATTATATGCTTTATTTAAATAATGGTTCTACTTTGTAGTAGAATTTCAGTTATTGAAGTGAGATTAAAACAACATTTTGTCTCTTTGCAATTAGATGAAAAGTCTTCCTTTGGTAGCCTGTGATTTCTAAAAGTGCTTAGAACTAAAACACACTGTGTCAAATTCAATATGTATTAGATTTCATATACATCAAGCCTGACATCCCAAAATCAAACCGAGGAGAATATATGCAGGTCTGTAGAGGGCTGAAATCTCAGTTACCAGGGTTAAAGATTTTGACTGCTCAGCCCCAAATGGTCATATATCTCTAAAACTCCCACAGTGATCAGGGTATGAAGGGATTTTTTGCTGTTGCAAGGAGTGTTCTTAAATCCATTCCTTTAAAAACATAACCCCCCTCCACCCTCCATTTTCAGGCACTATTTCTGCTGGAACAGATTCCTTGAGCATCAGTCCATCATACAAGCATTTATATATATATCACTGGGACCTGATCTTGCCCCAAATGCTATTGACAGTGCTGTGGGTTGGAGATGAAAGTGCTGATACAACAGGATTCCTGTTCCCCATCCTCCTGTAGAGGCTTGGCAGAGTTTTTGTGGGACTTTAACTGTGCCCTCTCAGCAAAAGAAGACTTTCTAGAGGCTGCTTATATTGTTTAGGTGTCTATTTCTCCCCTGCAGAAAAAGCAGTAGAGTGAATGGAAGCTTTCTGATCACCTTGTCCTATGCATGGATTTCAAAATACGTCATAACTTTAAGAATAACATCTGAGTATTCCAAAAAATGACATGCTAAATTTACAGCAATATGTAAAGATACTGAACTTGGCATGAGATTTACTGAAATACTTTAGCTGAAAATAGACTTTGCAATATAACACGTTATATATTCTTTTTCAGCTAAAAAGGGAAGATGCTGGCTATGCTAGTGGTTTTGCTTCATGGGATGTGCTAGGAAATCCATGATTTCAATCTCCCTGTTGCATAGATAAGTGGAAAGTTTTAAGTAAAACAAATAAAATTAAACCATTTAATTCCATTCTGCATTCCGCTTTAAAGTACAGTAGCTTTGAATAATGAGTCCATAAAAAACCATTGGCTGTCTCTCATGCAGTTCAAACATCATTACTAGGGAGTTATAAATCTGCAGACAGCGGAGGTTCCTTTTATGAAACAGTCTTTCATCTAAAATGGCTACGAACTGATCAATACATTTGTTATGAATAAGCTCTTTTAGATCTTGGGCAAATGTGACTTAGCAGTTTTGACAGAAATGGAGCCAAGTGGTGCTTTATAGATTTGAACAATCTTGTAGCTGGTTCAATGAAGGTGAAGTCTGTAATTGACCTGTTGAGTAGTGAGAGGAAAACCAGAAATAATAAAGAAAAAATTATGGTACAGTCTAGGTTGGACTTTTAGCTGATTTTTTATTGGATGTATTCCTAATATAAAAACATCTGGTGGTAGCTTTTCTTATAAAAAAGCTACAATGTACTTAGAATAAACTTATTTTCATCCATTTTTGTGCAAAGACTACTATATTAGATTTGTTCCATCTTTAAAATGAATGTTGCTTCCCAAACACCTTAAAGATGACTGAAAAAACTAAGTGCAGTTTCTGAAAAAAATTGGAATTCTGTACTCATCTGACATGGTGCTGAGCACCCACATCTATCACTGAAGTCAGAATGACTTATAAACCATTGTCAGAGAGATGCTTGAATGTAGGGAGCTTGAACTAAGAAACTGTTATTATAGATAAACTATTTTTATATTATAGAATAGTATACTATTATTATTTCAAGTTTCTTTCTTTAGTAGGAGCTGCTGTCCTAACTGAGGTCCTCTCCATTGCCACACTGTGTGGAGGGGATATTAAATATGCAAGACAGAAATTAACTAGATAGAGCAAGATACAAGGAGAAGAAGCATGCAACTTCAGTGCTTTGGCAAAGATGAGAGAGAGAAAAACAGTATCTAAAAACCTCATATGCTAATAGTCAATAAAATAGATCTCTTGTTTTTCCTGGTTTGTTCTTGCTTTGTTCTGGTTTGAAACCATTCCCTATTTGCTGCCATTTTCTACGGCCTTCATTGATAAATCACCAAAGTCTCACATATTTTCGTGAAAGTGTCTTGACTTTTTCTATTCACACTTTTTTAAGAGCTGCACAAGTAATTAATGTTTAGGCCAAAAGGAGTGAATCTGTACTTCAGAGCTTTGAACACAGAATGCTGGAATCTGAAACTCAAATCCCTCTTGCAATACTCCTGAAATTATTTCTGCAGGTTGCAACAGCCCTAAAAGAGAAATCTACCTGAGAATAGCCAACAATATGAGCTGAAGAAAACCTGCATTTAGGTACCACCTCCAGTTCAGGGATATTTGCAGACATCAGTCTGCTGTTAGCAGCCAGCAGATATTACCATATAAATATCTTGCATTTCACCTGTATGGATTCACTAGAGTATACTGGAAGGCATATATCCATCTATGCTGATTTGGAAAAGGATTCATTTTTTCTTTCTACAGTTGCTGCCTGTATCATTTGGGTGTGTTTTTTTCTAGAGGTCTGTCTGACTGATGCCTTGAATCCCCATAATAACAGATACTGTGAATGCCAGGAATGATCCTGTGTCACATCCTTGGTGAGTGAAACATCTTATTAACTCTTGGATTTGCTGTTATCAGCATATATCTTCTGTGGTTCTGGCAGCAGACCAGTAGGAGCAAACCCTGTCATGTAAGCAGGGGAAATTACTGCACCTGACCCTCCTGTTTCACAGAACTGAGGTTGCAGGGAAGCTGCAGGTGGCTTATGGACCATTGTAATTTCCAACATAAGTGGTGGGAAAAATGCGTCTGCTGAAAATGAGATGGATCTCAAACTAAAATATGTAACAGTTCTGAGGAAGTACAACTTTGTTTAATATAGAAAATCTGAGCAAAGAAAAACTGTGGGAATGTGACTGGGGTAAGATTAGAAAACTTGGAAGTTATATTTACATTCCAACAGAAGTTGTAGCAGCCTGGAAATTATAGGATTAAATGCTGTTGCTGCTTCCAGGATGGAATGCAAGTGGCATGGAGGAAATCCATTCCATGATAACTCACCACACACAGAGCCTGCAACCTTAAGCACATGCTATGAGGGATGAAATGGAGGGTTGAGCAAAGGGGAGAGACCTTGGCCAGGCTCTGTTGAAATCCTGGCAGGGATGGGAACCCAGTGGTGCCATGCAGCCAATAAACTGCATGGCAGCTGCCACCCAAGGGAGAGGGGAGATGTCTTGTGGCTGAAGCAGCAGCTGGGGTGAAATCACTCTCCTTGGGTGAATTTGGTCCATCATAATCTGATTGCAATACCAACAGACACCTCCATGTCAAAATCACCCACCTCCCTGGTATGACCAGCCCTCACTGGGCATGCACCCCATATTTTATTGACTACATTTTTGAAAGTGAAGCAAAACAATTTTATACCAATCAATAATAAAAGTATGTGTGACCAGAGCCACTAAAGCTTCACCTAAAGACACAGTGTAAAAGTGAGTTAGGGATGGGGAGAAGTTAGGGAAGACTCCATTGTAACTTTGGGGATTAATTGATTAGTTGAATTTGTCTTCTTCCACATAGGGACACCTATTGGGAAAGAACCATATTTTATGTGTGCTAAATTTTTATCTTCATCTAGATTTTATTGGTGATTAGAGTTTGTCTGTATGTTGCTTTAAATGTGTCTTTGCAGTCCATCAGTATTACTGCCAATATTTAAACTTTAACCTTTCACAATTTCCTATTATCAGTGTGTTAATTAATGAAGTGTGTAATTTTGTGAAATGTCTCGTGTGAATCCTTCAAGGGCAGCAGCTCTTGCTGGCAGTGGAGAGCATACCAGTGGGGGGATGCAGGAGGGGCTTTCACTTTCTGAGTTGCAATAAAGGTTTCACTCTGATACACTGGTGGTGCGTGTCCCTGGACAAGCTGCTCTTGGGTACAGAGGGCTGCTCACTGGGGCCCCTACAATGGGGCACTGACAGACTGGTTGGGAACAAGGTTTCCAGCCTTCCTGGGGCATTGGCAGACCAACCAAAACCAAAGTGTTTGAGGAAACCCTCCTTTCATGTGAAAAGGACACATAATCTTGCAAGTCCTACCAACCATTCTCCAGTGTGAGGAAGGAAGAAGTTGTAGTCTTACTGTCCTGCAGACAGCAGAGGCTAAAACAAACACTGAGCTGTAGGTTATGATTCATTTCTAAGTTCCAGTCTTCAGGAGAAGTCTACCTAAATGAAGGCTTAGTGAAAACTGAGGAAGAAAGTCAGAGCTTGGCTCATGGTGATGTTTATTCATCATTTATTCCAGTATTCTTTATACTCTTATTTCCAATGATTGATGACTGTAGATAATTGTGTATCAAAGGTGTCATTCTAAGCTGATGGATTTATTGCCAAACCTAAAAGCTATGTGAAGACGTAGAAGCAATTTATTTATATAAAACCAAAGTAAAAATTGGTGGTTCACTCTGTTTATAATGAGTTATCAATATAGCTTGTGTTCTGCTGTGCTGTGAGAAAAAAATCTAATTCTGACCAAATGTTATATAATAAAGAAATGTATGATTATGCAGGCTTGTATTCTGTTGATTTTGGGTGGGTGTTTTGGATAATATAAATTTTTTTTTAGGCTGTTCTAATGAAGTCTGGGATATGATCCATTATGATCCACATGGAACAGAATATTCTCTGACTTCTTACCATGAATACCTGCATTTTTTTAGTTTGGGATTAGCAAAAAATATTTTCCATGAACATTTTGTAAATCACTCCCTTCAGTTAAATAGGTTTAGAGAACTGTGCTATGGCATTTACTGAATGTTGTAAATGAAAGTAATGAGTATGGTACTGCTATAGAAAGAAAAAACCTTCTCGCCAAAATTTCTAAGCACCTAAAATTTCAATGTAAAAAAATATTTCTCTTCTTTTCTGCACTGTAAAAATCTCTTACTTTGTCACAGGTCAATATATTTTGACTGGCAATGTAATACAAGTGTTGTTTCGTACATAACCAAAAAAACTTTGGCAGAAAATCAGCCCTAATACTGCAAGATGATTAACAAAAGTGTAAACTTAAAGGTAGACTTTAAACCTCTGTCTCCCTTACCAGAGCCAAAGAAGAGGGCATATTATGCAAGGACAAAAGTAATGGGGTAATTCTGTAATTTTGGATTTAAATTAGGACTTATATTTCCTTGGTGGTTTTTATTACATGAGCAGATACAACTCACATGCCAAAAACCCTGAAGTATCTGTTAATTTTCTTCTCAGGACTTTCAACCCAGGTGCTTTTTAAATCTTTATTTTATGGACAGATCCAATTGTTCTCAGATGGAATTTTGCTGGCGTAACGCTTCAACATTCCTATTGCAGACATACCATTCAGTTTTGTATTGTATCTTTCAGAGGAAAATTAAGAGGAAATGGTAGTAATAAAAATTATTAGTTCTATAATAAAATATTGAAATAGAGGAAAATATTAAATTTTGCTACATATTTTATGTAAGTTTATAAGCACACTCTTGTTAGTAAAAAAAAATTAATTTTGCTCTTTAAATGAGTCAGAGAAACATCATGTATTTTTAGGTCAAATATTATATTTTCTGTCTAACTGCTTAAAATTTCCATTAAAGTGTCAAGAAGACTTGCGTAATTTCCAAGTAGTTTCCTATGTATATTTAAATATGTATATAATTTAAAAATAAATAGAATTTTAACTACTAGAAATACACTTGCTATTAGGTACACTGTTTAAGTCAGTAAAGATAAGAATAATATTTTCTTGTTTATTAGTATGCATTTAGCATTTAGTGCTTTATGACTATGAATAAGGACTGAATTTTGAATTGCTCTACATAAGACATAAAAGGGAAAGAAAAGGGAAAGTGAAAGAAAAATCCTCGGTCTTTCTGAGCAAGCATTGCCCTGATGTATGATCCAGTCATGTGGAATAAGGAACATTACTTATCATTTTCTGCCTTGCAGAACAGATATTACGGACTGTGAAATATATCACAGAATGTTTCTGTATGGCTGATCCAGTTAGCAGAGAGTTAGCACATTAGAAAAATGATTTACCAATGGTGTTGCAACTGTGTTTCATACGCTTTAGTAGCAATTAACTCATAGAAAAAGGGACTACCTTTCTTTCAATGAAAGTCTTTGGTTCTTTCTTATGATTTCTCATGTCATTCTGAGGAAAAGAACTCTTTGCATTGATGATGACTCATTTTCTGAAACTATTTTATAAGGTTTTCAGCCTAAGGTAGGAAACTGTGGATTATCATTTTTAAAATGAACTCAGAAAAAAAAATAAAAATAAATATTTAAAATCAATTAACACAGTTATAATCCAGCAAAGAAAATCTGTGAATTTTAAGATTCAGGAGACCTCTTTTAACACAAAAATTGTTGACATCGAATGTTAATGTGCTGTTGTCCTCAGCATGCATATGACCTGTAGTGAAAATGTTTGTCTCGCATCCAGAACCCAGAAATACACAGAGATTGTATCTCATGCTCCATAAAATATTGACTCATTTACTCCCTTTCTTTCAATTCAGTTTTCTGTCTGCTAACCCAAAAAGTAGAGTCTCCAAAGACAGACTGCTGGATCTGCAGAAACAAAATAAATTCTACTTGCCCCCTTCCCTATGACCCTTAATGAACCAAAACTGGGAAAACTAAGTGATATATATGAATGAGAACTTTTGAACAGACTGAAATTCTACCAACTCCCAGGAAAAGAAATTTATCTCTTGAAATATGTCACAGAGCAACATCAAGTGACAGGAGCAAATATGATTGTCTCTTATAAACTAGTGACTGCCT